ATCAACGTTTCAGTTACAAACTGTAACAGAACAAAAAATAACAGAAATGAACAGTTATATTACATATTGAGAAAAACAAACAAAAGTGCAATGAACTGAACAGCAATAACAAATGATCAAATAAAGCAGTAAAAAAATAAAATGGTTGTAATATAAAAATTATTTTGTTAAAAAAACTGATTGGGAAATTTTTGTTTTTTGAACAAATAAGAACAACAATTGGTGGTGCACTGGAGGTGTTCACGAGTCAGTGCACTGCAGGCAGTATGCGTAGTACGTTGCATGACTTCTGCAGACACACATTCTGTGTGTGTGTGTGTGTGTGTATTTTCGTTGTGTCAGTGTCACCAATTTATATTTGTGGTGGTTCTGCATTTTATTTGACAAATTATAAGACTTTTTTTATAGCCTTACAAATGTATTTCTGTGTGTATGTGTATGTGTGGTTGTGTGTGTGTGTGTGTGTGTGTGTGTGTGTGTGTGTGTGTGGCGAGCATGATAATTTTGCATTGTGGATGTTTTTTACATTGTTGGAAGTGTGCCATTTCATTTCTGTCCATGTGATCTGCGTTGTTTCTGATTTTGATGATGAATATTATATATTTACTATGCGGGGTCTCCAGGGACCCCGAAGACAACAAGTGTGACTATTTTTTTCACGGCAACATAATAACAGATATCATTCCAATTTTTTTTCTTTTGTAGATCTATGAAGTGTTAAGAGCTGTAGAAAGTTTCATACCATTTGGACAAAGAGAACATTTTTTTTAATTTGACCAAAAGTCATTTGCGGGTTAAAAAGACCCCAAAGATAACCAGAGGGTTAAGTATATCAATTTAGTATACCGAAAGTACAATTCCAAGGTATTTATATTTAGTACATAAATATGTAAATGTATTAATAGTCTACTTAACATAAAATAAATGTTTTCAAATACATTTTGGTATATTTATTTTTCACTAGGGATCATCCATCAGAAAATATTCTAATATTCTGATTTTATGCTATTTTTACATTCAGATTACCATTGCTTTAACCAAATGCTCACTTGTTGATATTTAAGAAGATGAATAATTTAATAACACTATTTAATGTGATCTTTAGCAAATACGGTACGGTAGCAAGTTCATACGATTAATTTATTTATATTACAATATTGCTATGCCTAAATTCCTTTGAAGTGCTATTATGAGCTTAGCTAAGTTCTGTGCATTGGTATTCTCCATTTGGAACATGTCAGACATGTTTTGAAATTATTGGCCAAAATGTACCAGTCGCATCTGGCGCACAGGTGAAAGTTTGTCATGTGTGCACAGCTGCACACCTGCTTAGCCTTTGCAATGTCCTCACAGATGTTGGCTATGTTTGCCAGAGGATGATTCACAAACATTTGCATCTGCTATGATGTCACTTTCGGAGCACAGGTTGCCCAACTTGTGAGCAGGTTTCACCCCACAGGCACACAAATGGTGTTCCTAGACTGGATGACAAGGTTCTACCCACTCTGTGTGGGTGACTGACTTATTGTGTCTGCCTCTAGAAACAAGAGCTTGTCAACATTCCTCCAAACAAAGGCAACAATCGGGCTTATGGCCAAAATCTGGCCGTTCTGTCGACAGGCTTGAGGGTTTGGTGGCCTTCTCACACTAATGTGATCATTATCAGAACGTCTCAGCACTATGTTGCTTTTCCACATCCTCCCCACGTTCATTCCATTGAGTGGATTTTTTTCCCCCCATTTCTTTCCCTCTATTTCCCTTTTTCTGGCACATGGTGTACCAGAGAGAACAGCCTTCAGCAGAACATAGCATGCCAGACGCTTCCCTTTGGCACTTTGTGTTGTTGGGTTTGTCAGAGAGTTGGTTTCGAGTGATAGTTGGCCTTAAGTGTGCAGGCCTTGATTTGGATGCTAAAAAAATCTGCAACGCATAGCTCTAAATTTAAACACAGAGTTCTAAAATTGGGGGGGGGGGGGGGGTTACTAGAACTCACTGTTAAGTTAATAAATTTCCATTCATACTTCACAGCAAGCCATTCATGCTGTGTGCCAAATCAATTTTAATAGGGTATTTAAAAAGATGAATTGTTAATACCTTCAGCATTGGAGAGTATTCGTGTTTTCCTCATTGTGGAAATAAAGCTCATTGAACTTCTGGAACATGGCCTGGAGATGATTTCCTGCCTGGATGCTTGGACTTTGCTTTGGTTCAGACCTGGTGGCTGTCTACCTCCTTTCCTGACCAGAGTCTCATAAAATATAAGTAACTGTTTTTCAAACAACATGACTGATTTTTTACAATTGTCTGAGAGTTCAATATTGCTATTTTACTCTAGCGGCTAAGATGTTTGACTTTTCTCACTTTTCCCACAGTGGAAAATTGGGCCAGATTCACTCGTTACAAAATTGTTTTAGTTGCTACAGTTCTTTCCTAATAGACTTAAAGAGTTAGTTCACCCAAAAATGAAAATTCTCTCATTAATTACTCACCCTCACGCGGTTCCAAACCCATAAGACTTTCGTTCATCTTTTTGATGAAATCTGAGAGCTTTTTGTCCCTCCATATACAGCTACGCAACTGACACTTTGACTGTTCAAAAAGTTAATACAGAGATCGTAAAACTATTCCAAATTAATTGAGCAGTTTAGTCAATTTTCTGAAGAGACTTGATCACTTTATATGATGAACAGATTGAATTTAGTCTTTTATTCACATATTAACATTGATCAGCAAACAAACAGAAGCTCTACCCAACCGGCTTGATGCGCGAGAGAACAAACGCGGAAGCACAAAAGTGCTGTGTAAAACATGAAAATACCTCATTGGTTCTTGCGGAAACTCCGACGCGCTGCATGCGTAACACACGAGAATGAACCTTATTGGTTCTCGCACATCAAGCAAACATGCTTGAGCTTCTGTTTACCAGATCTGATGTGTGAGTTGATGAATTGTTCGTTTCGATATGTGAATAAAAGACTAAACTAAATCTGTTCATCATATAAAGCGATCGTGTCTCTTCAGAAATTTTTGGACTAAACCATTCAATTCATATGGATTGGTTTTACGATCTCTTTTTGAAGCGTCAACATGTTAGTTGCGTAGCGGTCTATGGAGGGACCGGAAGCTCTCAGATTTCATCAAAAAGTTCTTCATTTGTGGTCAGAAGATGAATGAAAGTCTTACGGGTTTGGAATCGGATTGGAACGACATGAGGGTGAGTAAATTCTGTTAATTTTATTTTATTTCATTTTTGGTGAACTAACCCTAGCCTACTGTGAGTGATTAATAATCATTCAGGAACAGTGTTGTGATAACTACCTAAAAATAGCATGAATAATTAACTACACAGTACACAGGTTTAATAAATGATGCAGTATATTAATATTATCAATCAATTGCCAATGGTTAATCATGTAAGACAAAACAGTCCAAATATTTAGCAAGAAAAGAACAAACAATTTGGAGAGAAAATTGTGTGGGCAGTTGCCAGGGCATTGCTATGTGCTATGTTCTGCTGTTTTGAGCTATTATTTATATCTGTACAAGGACAAGTAGCACAGGAAAATCTAATACGATTGACTGATTATGTATGTATCTATGTATGCATGCATTTTAGTTTTTTTGTGTCCAATAACTCTCTTGCAGAACTTTTCTTTCTTCTTTTTTTTTAACTAAATGATCATACTACAATTGGAACGTAAACATGGTTATCGTAATTACATTTATTTGTAATTACATTTATGCAGAGTTGTTTTAGGATCACTAATACAACAGCACACATACTGTTCAGTGACTATATGAGCGGGTCTTGGTGTATATTTAGCGAAAATATTTTGGGCATCCATCATGGCACTGCCATTTGCCTCTAAGGCAGTACTTTAAAGTTATGCACCCATTAGGTGTTTCACATCTGATGTAGGTCCCAGTTGCCCCCCACTTCACCTCACCTCACCTAGTCTGGCAAAACAAGCTGTGGCATGTAAAGAGGAACTTTTTGCTTTTCACTCATCCTTCCTTGTCTCTCCTGGACAAGTGATCCTTTAATGTTTCAAAAAGCCTCAAGGTGCAACTGCTCTGCTGTTCAAAGTCTTTAATTAGGTGAATTTTTCTTTCTCGTAGGAAGTAGATAATAGCTTAAAAGTGGCATAGCTTGTATCCCAACATCAGGTTCCAATTGTAGGTAGGGTGGCTGAGAGAAGAGTGTATGAGAGAAGAATTTCATGACTTGTTTTGGCTCACGTCCCAAATTCCTTAACTATAGTGTTCATGTGTGTTGACCGGTTGGACTTTGTCTCGGCCATGATTGAAAGAATGTTTTTGTACATACTTGAATGCGTCTCCTTTGACATAATTGACCACTGCTTTAGCTTTACCTCTGATAGTAAAAAATATGTCTTAAAAATAGAATGTACTTTGTGAGTTATACTATTTTCAGATGTGTGGCTGAAACACTATAAACATTTAATAACTTATGTTTTTTCGATCCTTTGATGGACCATCTGTTGGAGCCAAATGTTTGGTAAATGTTAAAGTTCAACTAACAATAAAAATAGTTTACTCATCTTCATGTCATTCCAAACCTGTGTGACATTCTTTTTGGCTGTGAAACACAAAAGGAGAAATATTAAACAATATACTGACCACTCTTTTGCATGTAACAAAGGTAAATTGGATGGACTGTCAAGCTCCAAAAAGAGGAACAGAGGAGTACATTCTTCAATAGTGCACCTCCTTGTGTTTTACTGAATAAATAAAGTCCTGTGGGTTTGGAACAGATTGACGGAGAGTAAATGAATCTTAGGTAAAATATTTCTTTAAAAAATATGCGTGAAATTCCCAATGACATGGTGAACATGTCAAATACCTAGACTACCTCACTTGCTAAACATTTCAGTCAATCAGGTTTCTATTCTCTCCTAGAGAGCTGAATGTTTAAAGGAACGTCTGCAAACAGAATGTTTCACTTAGACTTTTCCGCTCTTTTTTTTTTCTTCCCACAGGTGTTCTGTGTGCTTTGATCTCCTGACAAACTGGTACTTTGAGAAAGAGGGGAGGCTGTACTGTCACAAACACTACTGCGAGAAGTTTGGGGAGTTATGCCATGGCTGCTCGCTGCTTATGACGGGACCTGCTATGGTAAGAAAGAAAAGCCATGTGAACTTGTCTGAATTGCATGGCAGTGTGTTTGTTTTTCCACAGAGTTTTAGAAGAAAAAAACACACAGAAATAAAAGAAACTGACTTTCAGTCGGAAGGTCTTAAGAAGATAATTTCAGAATGCTCTGCTAACCTGCGCAAGAAGCGCTTAGATAACACACCATTGTCTCATTCAGTAAATATTTACATGGCTAAATCAAGAGGTCTAAAGAAGGCAGGTAAAGTCAATAAATGCAGATGTTTTTCATAGTCCTGAAGAGGTCACTGATAAGGTAAAGGCTGGTGGACAGGCTTTCAACTCTTTTCCACTCCTAATGTGAGCAGTGAATCACATTTGAGTGATGCTTTTGGGAGGAATTACAGAGTTTTATTCTTGTGCCGAGGTGTGTCATTAATTGTTTTGCAGCCTTAATGGGATAGTTCACCCTAAAATGAAAGTTCTATCATCATTTATCCATCCTCCTGTTGTTTTGCGAAACACAAATAGATAAATTGAAGAATGTTTCTATTGATTTATGGTAATACTTTACAATTAGTTTCCATCAGTTAAGGTTGGTTAATGCATCAACTAATATTAACTAACAATAAGAAATACATTTGTTACAGTACTTATTAATCTTTAACAACATTAATTGATAAAAATATAACATGTTAGTTCAGGTTAATTAACTGATCTTAACCGATACAACTATTGATTTTGATCATGTATTAGTTAATGTTGAGATTAACAACATTATCTGAGATTAATAAATGCTTTAGAAATATTTTTCATTGTTTGTTCATGTTAACTAATGTAATTAAGTAATGTTAACAAATGTAGTTAACTAATGTTAACATATAAAACCTCATTGTAAAGTGTTACTGATTTTATTCCTTATATTTAACCTAATACTTTCAAGCTCCAAAAAGGACATAAAGACCTTACACAAACCTTAAACATAAACTAACTTCAAACATCATTGGTTCTCACACGTCACATGACCAAACGTTTGAGCATCACCATATTTGATGTCAAATATAGTTTTGATTTGAGAGTAAATAAAGGCTTACATTTCAGTCTGTTCCTCCTACATTACAAAGTAATAGTGTTTAAGTTGTTTAGAGTAATTTCATGCGATCTTAATGTCCTTTTTTGGAGATTAAAAGTATTGGGTCCCATTGATAAAAATGGACAAAACCAGCTGTAACTTTCTTCAAATATCTTCTTTTGTGTTTCTTTGTTCTTATTCTATGACATGTAACTTGGTAGTTTTCTCATGTGTCTCAAGAATATAAATGAATCTCATTTCTGATGAGATCTCAAATTCTCAATTGTAAATGATCTCATTCCTGTGATCTGAAGGCTGGAATGGCCACAGTGTTGTGTGCTGTTTCATCATGCGTCTGGAATGCCTTTGCATGGGCTTCAATGAGGAGCTTTGTAATCATAACGCTAATGAAAGCTGTATCAATGTGAGAGAGACTTACAAATCCATCTCTAATGTACACAAATCACTGCTCACAAAAACAGGTAGTTTTTAAATGGGTTAAGAGAGAAAGGGGCAGAAAGAGGAGAATTTGCCAGAGAGCAAACAGGATAATAGGCCTTTTCTGTTTGGGCTTTGATTAACGGATGCCAAGTATTTCTGGTCGGGGTGTGTTGCCAGTTGTGGGCTCAGAAGCACAAGCAGCGGGGTGTCAAAACCTTTGAAAGATAGGCAGGAAGAAATCACATCCTCACAGCTGAAGTGCTTGTTTGAATATGTTTGTTTATTTGTTCATTGACCATCCATGATGATACATTATTTTCTTTGGTTGTCTGAAAGTTCCTCATTGTTCAGTTTCTGCCCTATTTTTTTTTCTACCTTCATCTTCAAATTATTATTTTTTATGTCCAAGGCAGCTGTACTGGTTCTTACACCACTTTTTAGCACCTAAAATTTTGGGTGAGAAATGAACTGGACTAAAAGAGTTTTATCTCTTTTTTTTTTTTTCAATCTGTTCCATGTTCAGTTAGCTGTGGTGATGTGACTCCATGAGTCCTTAGGGAGGGGTGTCTCTTTTACAGTGCACTTCTGGGAAACAGTCTTTCTCAAATGCACATTCACACTCTACTGTAACACAGGCGGGTATGACGTTTATGAGTCGTGTAAGCACAAAAAAGATTTGAGAAATGCTTACTCACTGGTTGAACCAAGTGTCAAGCAGGTCAACTAACTGCCCTTGAGCAAAGCACTGTAAATGTGGACAGTGATTATTTTATATAGTATTATATATAATATATTTACTATTAACATTATGTAATTATTATTGTTATTTCTCTCCATGCTATGTCTATTATTATTATTATTTAGTGTTATGGTAGAAAATCTATTGTAATGGTGAAATGCATTTCTGTTTTATGCTAGAATAAATGAGAACAAAAGCAAGTAGGCATACAATCCTCTAATTGCCTGTCTGCATGTTCTACACTCTTGATTGTTGAATAGTGTAGACTGCATGAGGAGGTGTGGCTTACCCAGCCGACAAATTACCCAAGAATTTAGTTAGTCAAACCCTGGGACCGTTGATTCACAGCTCGGTAAACATAACTGCTAATCTGTCTTTTGTGGTTCACATTAAATGAAACCTCAGTGTGACCTCATACTTTCTCCATTCAGCCAGAATGAAAGGAAGAGCCAGAGTATTATTGGTTAAATAATTTCCCATTCACAATAAGAGAATAAAAGTCTGTTTCTGTTCCATAACCCTTGTTGATTGGCAGTTATATTGAATATATGAGTTTGTGTGCCTTAATAATCTTTTAAATGAAGAGCTGCAAACTGTGTGTAGTTTCTTTCTAAGGAGTGAGATGGAAAGCTACTGAGACTTTGTTTAATTTGAAAATCAAAGTAATGAATGTGAGTTTTATTTGGCTTTTCTTTGGAGATAAATGTGTCCTTAGAAGTTGACTAAATCCCACAAAAATTCCCTTTGGTGAGATCCTCAAATGTAAGAAAATTATTAATAAACACTTATTAATGTTAAAAGTGCAAGATGTTTTCTTAGGGAATTGGATTTGATTTTGGTTAGTGTTGGTCTGAAGTTAATAGAATGTGCTATATATCAAAACAGTATAACTGTAAAAGAAAGGGATTTGGGGTATTTAATTGCTTACAAGGTTAATAAATGTGTTTGATTTATGCAAATGAATGCTGTGGAATTGTATTTGCTAGTAATTAGTAAATAGATGTTTATAGTTAATGTATTTCAAGTAAACATCAGGTTAAAATGTTGTGTAGTTAATATTTTAAGTTCTTTTTTCCGGTTTATTAATTTCTAAGGGTAAAATGTCAACGGAAGTAAAATGAGAAAATAAAGCTTTGCCCCAAACATTTCTGAAAACGGTTTCTTCTTGTAAATGTGTATTTTCTAAGATTTATGAGAGGGAGGTCAAAGAGATAGCCTGCGTTAGATAGAGGTAGGAGGTGTTAAACAGAGACTGACACACATTATGTGTTGTGTAAGAGCATGGGATCATTGTTATAGAAAGGGTCTGGCAGCCTTATGTCACTTTTGATAACAGACAGGACCAGACACTTGCAGGTGTTAAGGAAAAAGATAGAACACATGCTTACGTCACTGCCAAAGAACGCAGACTGAACGAAGACCGTACACAGACACAAAGCAGATGAAGCACAATGAAAGCATGATCCACTACACCTGGGCTTGGCAGAGATAGCAGTGAGCATATACTAAGCGTACAGGAGTATTCCAGAAAGATTGTATCTGGACCACTGTCAGGGCTGGTGTTGCTGGCACTGAGGATGTGGTCTTTTGGAGTGAAATCATGAGGCATCTGATGTTCTGAACTTCATCTGCGCTGGGTGTTCGTGTGTTTCAGGTGGCAGGAGACTATAAATATCACCCTGAATGCTTCGTGTGTTTGAGCTGCAGGGTGGTGATTGAGGATCAGGATACCTATGCCTTAGTGGAACGTACCAAACTTTACTGGTGAGTAACTTCACACTTTTCAACTCCAAACTGTACATGTATTAATTGTAGTCTGTACTGGTGCAGAAATCAACTTTACTTTAGCTCCAAACTGTATTAATGTTTCCTATGTGTTGACTTTACATATCTTAGCTGGAACTATCAGATATCCTGGTTTTACAAGGGGGGTGTCCTGGCAATTCATTAAACAAAATGTAAATGTAAATATGTCCCAGTTTCAGTATTAGGCTCACTGAATTTTAATTAAGTATCTTCAGTGTCATTTTATCTGCAGTCTGTGGTACCATTTGAGGTGCTCAATAGGATGACCTTGCAGAGACGCAAAGCTGTTTTTGAAAGCCAAACTGAACAAAATCTAAGAATTTCTTTGGTCAACACATGGAATTATGCGGTGTTTTGTTAGGGGTTCTGCTCTCTGCTTACATTTTTGCAATCAAATTGGCATTGCAGGTAACCAGGTAAATTTGCATTTCTATTATTATTTAATATAATGATAGGTGGACCCTTCCCATGAAAAACAGTCCAGACTCCCCCCACCCCCATTTGTCCTGGTTGTATTTGCAAATTTTACTGAGAAAACATCACATGAATTAATTAAATTGAAAACTGTCCGTGGGAGGTGTTATCACATTAAATTCAAACTCTGGGAACTTAATGTATATTACATCCAAACAGTACTGGTAAACAGCAACTAATATTTAATATGATAATAATCATTATCTCCTAATTCTTTATCAAAAAGGCTTTTTAATGGACTTCTTAACGTGTGGTTTGTGTGTATTCAATTTGCTATTTTGTTTGTTGTTTCGCTTCATTTGTCGTTTTCAGTAAAGCACGGACAGGTTGACACACATCTGAGTGTTTCATAACATGTCTGGTGGTGACTTGCTCTTGTCAGGTCTTGTCCTAAAAGTTCAGGTCCTAAAGTGTTCAAGCTCTAGTGATGCTTATCAACTTCTCTATCTCACACAGTGGTAAATGCTACAAGCAGGAGGTTCTGACACCGATGTTGGAGAAGCGTGGTTTGGCCGACTCTCCAACAGACCTGCTCCCTCACACAGTAACTCTGGTATCCATGCCTTCTGCCACCAATGGAAAAAGGGGCTTCTCTGTCAGCGTGATTAGAGACTGCACCAGTGCCACTGCCAGTGTCCAGGTCAAAGAGTAAGTGAAGACATGCAGAATAAACAAGTAAAAAAACTTGATGCACCCCCTACTTGCCTTACTTGAGATATTAGTTTGGGATCTGGTTAAGCAAGGAGTCAGATTACGATGAATATGCTGTGAAACATTTGGAATAATAGAGACTTGAAGTTATTTATCACCTCACAGATTCACCAGAATGCCACCACACCCCATGCCAGAGACACTGTTAATGCCACATGGAATGTGTTGCATAATTGTGGCAATATGACAGCTCATGTTGGATTAAAGGCACAGACTGCCATTTTGTTTTTGTGTTCTTTGGATGCAAAACCATAACAGGAAGTAATGAGATTTGTCTCCTCATTCCTAACCTGTCTTTTGACGAAAATCTCCCAAAACCTTATCCTTACAGGGTCAGAGGGATGCATATAAGTCCAGAGGTTCGTAACGCCATCCATGTTGGGGACCGAATCCTGGAGATCAATGGACTCCCGGTGACCGCTTTGATGGAGGAGGAGGTACTTTCCATTTTTTTACTGCTACCATGCTTGATATTAGCTTTGAGGTGAGGTGAAATCGTGGCAACGCTAACGTGTTGAAGCAATGTGACAATACAGAGGAACGGCATGATAAACATTTGAAATACAAACTGTCATACCATAGCTTGTCCCAGCACATACAATGACACTCCTTTCATACCTTGGTAATAACTTTAACCTGGTCATGCACTGAATTTACATTACTCCCTAGTAACACACTGTTTGTTATATGGCTTTGATGTGTGTTATCATTATCCATATTACACTTGGCACATCTGTTGTGTTTTGTTAGTGTTAATGTTGCAGAAGCAATATTTAGTTTTCTTAAGAATAAAATGTAAGGAGTCAGGCATGGGTTTAACCTTGTAATGCATACCCGTGTTGGGAGGTTTGTGTTTAGACTATAGTATTAAAGTGACTTGTCAACTCCTGTTTAAATGCTTTGCATTCTCGTCGTGCATTTGTAAATGTGATTTCATTTTCCCACCGTATCTCCTTTTGAATTTGAATTTCACTTCTTCTCTCTGTTGTCATGGATTTGTGCCTTAATTTAATCATGTACCATTGAGGTTTTAGGACTGACTTTGTTTGGCAGCCATCTGCAGCCTGAGATTTCCTTAATCCTAAAAATGGAAATATGTAAAGTCCTGAAATTAGGGCTGGAACTAACGATTTTTTTTTCAATCGATTAATCTAACGATTATTTTTTTTACTGATTAATTGAATAACCCCTGGTTAATCTATTGTTTATTTTTTTGAATAGCCTATTAATCCTGTGGTTAATTTACCAATAAATAATAACCATAAGTAAGCTATGTATGAACTTTTACGTAATGATACTACACTGAACAAAATTATAAATGCTACACTTTTGTTTTTGTCCCCATTTTTCATGAGCTGAACTCAAAGATCTAAGACTTTTTCTATGTACACAAAAGGCCCATTTCTCTCAAACATTGTTCACAAATCTGTCTAAATCTGTGTTAGTGAGCACTTCTCCTTTGCCGAGATAATCCATCCACCTCACAGGTGTGGCATATCAAGATGCTGATTAGACAGCATGATTATTGCACAGGTGTGCCTTAGGCTGGCCACAATAAAAGGCCACTCTAAAATGTGCAGTTTTGCTGTATTGGGGGGGTTCGGGTGTGACCACCATTTGCCTCACGCAGTGCAACACATCTTCGCATACAGTTGATCAGGTTGTTGATTGTGGCCTGTGGAATGTTGGTCCACTCCTCTTCAATGGCTGTGTGAAGTTGCTGGATATTGGCAGGACCTGGAACACGCTGTCGTATACGCCGATCCAGAGCATCCCAAACATGATCAATGGGTGACATGTCCGGTGAGTATGCTGGCCATGCATGAACTGGGATGTTTTCAGCTTCCAGGAATTGTGTACAGATCCTTGCAACATGGGGCCGTGCATTATCATGCTGCAACATGAGGTGATGGTCGTGGATGAATGGCACAACAATGGGCCTCAGGATCTCGTCACGGTATCTCTGTGCATTCAAAATGCCATCAATAAAATGCACCTGTGTTCATTGTCCATAGCATACGCCTGCCCATACCATAACCCCACCGCCACCATGGGCCACTCGATCCACAACGTTGACATCAGCAAACCACTCACCCACACGACGCCATACACACTGTCTGCTGTCTGCCCTGTACAGTAGGGGTGTGCCAAAAAATCGATTCACAGAAGAATCTAGATTCTCATTTGCAACGATTCAGAATCGATCTGAAATGTCCAAGAATCGATTTAATAAATAAATAAAATCAGCTGGCTGTTCGCCTCCATTTTTGTAACTATAGCCTATACGGGACGTCCGGACGTCATGCACGCAGCCGGTTTTTGAACGTGAGCGGCAAATCAAAGGAAGCAAATATGGATGCTTCTAAATATGATGCTTCTACATTCATTCTGCCGTGGCCGGCCGCCACACCTAAAATAATCCCGCCACGGCTGCAGCTTCTCAGTGAGGTCCGATATTAATGTGTATACCATTGCGTTATTGTTAAGCTAAAGGCATAAAAAACATTGTAAAGCACCATAAAGTGTTCGCACTATATTCCAAGACTTCTAAAGTCATTCAATAGCATAATGTGAGGTAAAAATGAATATTTAAGTCGTTAGTTAAAGTTAATAGAAACTCATCTCTCCTCAGTCATTCTCCATTCAGCATTCACACAGCGCGTCGCGTTATAGCGTTTTCTAAATCATAATCCTTTCTCCCGGGTGTCTGTTAGATTACAGCACTGGAGAGCGCTATGAATTGTTCTTCATGCGCACTGTAACTGAAATTTAAAACTGTTAAAAGAAAATGCTCAATAAACTGTTGCATATAATACATTAAGCATAGATAGACAGATATAATCTCTTCGCTTTGTGCTTTGAACTTTTCAATCCGGAGCGCTGCGCGCTGTGACTTCACGTTGCTTCAAGTGCATCATTCTGCGCACGGGATGCGCATAATCGCTTTGCCGCTCTTATTCGAGCCTTTCATGTTATAATGTTATAATGCTTAGGGGAGGTTTAAACACCTGGGGTAAGGGGGAATCGATCCAATGGGAATATCACTCATGGGCCACGCCCCCTCCCCCTGGCGAAATGGGCCTGCCACCACAGCTGGAAAAAATCCTAGAGGAAACACTGGTCTCCGTTTGTCATTCTGTATAGCAAAGCAGATGAGAGTAGATCATGATCAGAAACCCGATTAGAAATCATTATGGATAAAATCGAATCGTTTTAAATCGAAAATCTTTTTGAATCGAAAATCGATTTTGAATCGAATCGTGGCCTCAAGAATCGGAATCGAATTGAATCGTGAGATGGTAAAAGATTCCCACCCCTACTGTACAGTGAAAACCGGGATTCATCCGTGAAGAGAACACCTCTCCAAAGTGTCAGACGCCATCGAATGTGAGCATTTCCCCACTCAAGTCGGTTACGACGACAAACTGCAGTCAGGTCGAGACCCCGATGAGGACGACAAGCATGCAGATGAGCTTCCCTGAGACGGTTTCTGACAGTTTGTGCAGAAATTCTTTGGTTATGTAAACCGATTGTTGCAGCAGCTGTCCGGGTGGCTGGTCTCAGACGATCTTGGAGGTGAAGATGCTGGATGCGGAGGTACTGGGCTGGTGGGGTTACACGTAGTCTGCGGTTGTGAGGCCGGTTGGATGTACTGCCAAATTCTCTGAAACGCCTTTCGAGACGGCTAACGGTAGAGAAATGAACATTCAATTCACGGGCAACCGCTCTGGTGGACATTCTTGCAGTCAGCATGCCAATTGCATGCTCCCTCAAAACTTGCGACATCTGTGGCATTGAGCTGTGTGATAAAACTGCACATTTTAGAGTGGCCTTTTATTGTGGCCAGCCTAAGGCACACCTGTGCAATAATCATGCTGTCTAATCAGCATCCTGATATGCCACACCTGGAGGTGAATGGATTATCTCGGCAAAGGAGAAGTGCTCACTAACACAGATTTAGACAGATTTGTGAACAATATTTGAGAGAAATAGGCCTTTTGTGTACATAGAAAAAGTCTTAGATCTTTTGAGTTCAGCTCATGAAAAATGGGGGCAAAAACAAAAGTGTTCCGTTTATAATTTTGTTCAGTGTATTTATACCAAAAGATAAGGTTTATGCAGTGTAGGCCTAAGTAGGAAAGGTGTTTACTATTGCTGCGTTCAGTTACTTTTTGGGATTTAAAGCAGCAATTGCTTTACAATTGTGAATCCTGAAATGATTTGTTTATTTAGAAGATTAAAGTAGCTGCTTGAATATGTTCATTCAGCTGTACGATCAAACAGCTTAAGTCACTACCGCATTCTAACTAACCATAGCGAACAGTATCAAACATGGCGGTTTCCATAAACCGTAAAGTTTTGCCACGATTGACAGCGCATAATTAAATAAATGAGTGGGCTGGGTATCTTTCAAAAATTTTCGATACCGATACCTTGACTTCTATACTGGTTCCTAAACGATACTTTTTTTCATTACCAATTTTAAGAAATCTTTTTTAACAAGATTACATTACACATTACCTAAAAAAAACTTTGGTTTTATTTTTTCAGTTTGTTGACTTTTTTTTTCAGACTCATATAGGCCACTGGGGGGCGATATATATATATGCCTCGTGCTCAAGCGCACACATAAAGCTTGCCGCAAAGCACTGGCAAAAGTAGCCTAATGATTATGAATGTGTCGGGAAAAAATAGCAAGGAGACATTTTGATTGTTTATTAATAAACTAGTGTTTTCTGAGTCAGTGTCGACTGCAAAGATGAAGTTGACGTTGCTGACTCGTCATCTCCGCAGTATAGTGAACGCGCATGAGCCTATAGAGAGAAATGCAACTTTCAGTTGGATTACATAATCAGAGTATTTTCGAGTGTTTTGGATTCGAATTGGTTCGTTTAAAAGTAGACATTTCAAGCTTTCTATATGTCTATATCTCATGTCTGTGAGGCAAGTAGCCTATACGCTGAGGTAATTTATGTGACACGCTCCAGTTATTTTTGCAGTCAAAGACGGAGCAACTTTCTACCCTTAAGTTTATTCCGTGCACTGTCAAGTGCTTCATCAGATTTCTTGTGTTGCCGGTCTTGGCAGCAATTATCTTGTCGCAAATATTGCATTGCGTGCTGTAGGCATCGAGCCATCGTGCTGTTGGCATCGGAAAAGATCAAAAGTTTGGCTACATTTCACCTTTTCCACATCTTTTAGATCTATGTGGTTGGGACTCTTACACACTACAGCCTCATGTGTGAGCCACGTAACCGGGGCGTAACCGGCATAAACTAGTGTTTTTCCTTGATGCCTCGCCAAAAACAATCATGCTGCATGCTTAGGTATCGAACTTTTACTACGGAACGACAAGACATTGGATGCTCGATGGTATCGAGGCAATTCAGTAAGTGCCTAAAAAGTATCGAACTCGATATCCAGCAGATATTTTAAATATCTAACAATTTCTCAATATTTTTGTAATAACGGCTGGTTTTCAGCATGCCCAGGAGCCGCCATCATTGTGGAACATAAACAGAGCAACGAATCGGCACATTACTCGCAAATAGACTAATTTACATAATCAATGTAATCAATTATGTCGACGTGTCATTCTAGCCTTACAGAAGGCTGTTAGATGTCTTCATTTTTGGATGTCCACATTTGTCGACCTGAAAATATTGAATCTCAAATGTATTCCACTCTTCCTGTGTATTTCATAATCTTAAATTTAGTGTTGGTATTGAGTGTTTATCTTTTGCACCTTTTAGAAAGACCTTTTGTGTGGCACCAGCTTTGACTGGGAGGAAAATCAATGTTATCAATACGAACAGCACCAGTGCACAATGCTCAAGTTTTATGACTAAATGCTGTCCTCTAGCTTTTATTGTTGTTGTGTCGCACTGGCGCTTATCAAAAAAGACCAGGAGTTTTTTGTGACCTTTTGAATTCTGATTGGTCATTCCAGGTGGAGGACCTCATTCATAGGACCAGTCAGACACTGCAGCTGTTGATGGAATATGATCCAGTCAGACAGCGTCTGGACAAACTCCGCCTGGGCTCTTCCCACAATCAGCTGGGTGTCCCCGCGGCCTCCCGCATGCGTCTGTCCTCAGATGCTGAGATTGAGCGGAGTGACACAGTGGACAATAGGACGTTAAAGAGGAGGACCCTCAGGTAACTTATCCAATCGGTTTTCAGCACTGGGCTTGTGTAGGTATAGCATTTAAAACTGGAGCACAATTTGTTTATTCCAAGTGGATGTGGATATACAGATAGGGTGCAAAGTAAATGCACCACACACTTGTTTATCCTTTCCTAATTGCTTTTTGGGCTTATACAGAATTAATACTTTTAACTTGTGTGTTGTAGACGTAGCAACAGCACCTGCAAGTCTCCAGTCTCTTCATCTCCTAAGGACCCTCCAGTTCTGACTCGAGATATTGGGCGCTCTGAATCCCTCCGCTCTCCTTCCAGCTGGTCCCACCGTATCTTCCGTCCCTGTGACCTCATTCATGGAGAAATCCTTGGAAAAGGCTTCTTTGGACAGGCCATCAAGGTTTGCATATGTTTAACAACATATCTCATTTTCTGTATAATGCAGTGTATAGGTGGTCACTGGTTCCCCAAAGTTGTCTGGAAGAGTTTTATCACTGCATTGAATAAGCTTAGTTCAGTGTTGATGGACAGGTTCTGTACAGGAATCATAAGGAATTTTGGTTCTGATTCCACAGTTCTATATTGCGCTTCCTTAATCATTTGCATTTTCAAACAACTTGGCTGAAGAAATTTCTATTGCTTTGGGATGCCACAGTGCAGGATTATAGTTCCATTCACAACTTGCAGAAGAATGCAGATGTTCGAGAACCCTAGTTCATTAAAACAATTTGAATTCAATATTTTTGAAGAACTAGAATCACTTTTACGATTTCCAACCCTAAGACTGTGTGATCTTCTGTAGGTGACCCATAAAGCCACAGGTGAGGTTATGGTCATGAAGGAGCTGATCCGCTGTGATGAAGAGACACAGAAAACGTTCCTAAAGGAGGTATGAAGATCCCTTTTTTTCCCCGCAAGTATCTCTCATTCCTCCATCTGATTACCTCTTAATTTTTTCCTTCATCTCCCTATATCCACTTTTATTCCTTCCATCCCTTTGTTGTCTGCTCTGGGTCAGTATCAGAGTGTGATTTAAAAAGCAGATAAAACGGATCCATGTGGCGCCGGGATACAGTGTTGCTCTAGGGTTTGTGATTTTCTTCAGAGGAAAAGAGACTTAGTCTTAGATTTATCCAGTCTGTATTTAGTATGAATAACTTTAAGAATCTCAGCAATTAATTTTTTTCTCTCTCTTTCTCTCTTTTCCAGGTAAAAGTGATGAGAAGTCTTGATCACCCACACGTTTTGAAGTTCATTGGGGTTTTGTACAAGGACAAGCGGCTTAATCTGATAACAGAGTTCATTGAGGGAGGCACTCTGAAGGATTTTATCCGTGACAAGGTGCGTCCTGATTTTAAAATCCCTTTTTTCCTTTCCTCTTGCTTCTAGGAAGGGTCGTACATCATCTGTTAGTGTTTTAGTCTTTGTCGCTGTCTCTGTTCACCTGAGATGAACTTTGCAAGTAGAATTGGAGAGGGACAGGGAATAGGGACTGAAAACACAAACACACTCAGAGAAATTAAAGGGAGAAAATGCAGTTGTGCGGTGTTGCATCGGATGAGAGATAAAGGAGGTATGAAGTGTTTCCAGGTGAGGGATTCTAGTGGGAATGTTTTCCAGATCACCCACTGGGTTTACTTCAAATATGGGTTTCAACACCAAACATAAGGATAACAGATGATATACCTCTCTCGTTGTGTCTTTCGTTGTGTCTATAATGCACTATAATGTTTTCAATAAAATTGTCTGTGTGCGAGTAATTTGTGTCTGTAATAAGCGGCTGCCATTATGTAACGATTTCCTCTCTATTTTACGGACAGCATAGCGTGCTGTCAGACTGGGCTGTATTATAGTGTGGTTATAAACTAGGCCAGCAATTCATCTCTCTCTCTCTCTCTCTCTCTCTCTCTCTCTCTCTCTCTATCCCAACAGGACTCATTCCCATGGGAACAGAGAGTTAGTTTTGCAAAGAGCATTGCATCTGGAATGGTGAGTGGGCTTCTGGGTCTGCACACTTATAGCATTGCAAAACAATATAAGCTATTGCTGTACAATATTTGAGGAACTTTTGGATCATAGCTGACATGTTTATGTATATATATGTTGAAGGTTATTGTGAGATAACATTTAAATGGCTTTTGTGGCCTGTTTTAAGTAGTTTTTTGGATGTTAAAAACATTTTTTCCATCTTAGATTCATATACAAATACTATAAGACTTCCGTAGGTTGATTGAAATATAAACACTGTGCCTCTGGTACTATCAAAACGTCGTCGTTGTTTTTTTTTTAGTGTCCCAAGCAGTGTGATGCAGCTACATTGGCTCAACCGATGGCATGAGTTTTGTCAACTGATAGCAAATAAGGCCCATTTCATAATTTTGCATTACATTTGATGTCATTAGAGGAGCAAAAGTACTAGTATCAACACAAGCCCAAATGTATTAGTCCTGTTAAAAGAAGAATCTGTGACATCTCCATGGAGTAACATTTCAGAAATGGCATGTCATTTGATTTCTATTTCTGTTGTGTCACACTGGGAAGCCCCAGCCACTGTAAAAAGTAATCGGTTCAAGACGCCTATACATTAAATGTGTTTTAATTTAGAGATGCACAATATATCTGTGCCATATTGTTTATCAGCCAATATCAGTATCTTTTATATTTATTGCCATCATCCATTATTGGATATTTATCCGTCAATGTTGGATATTTAATCGTTTTTGCCTATTTTAAGATTTAGATCATCATCTAGCTCTAATTAAGGGATACTGATAGATTATGCCAAAAATGTAAACCTTGAAGAGGTTTCTAATAGTTCCTAAACAATTTCTAATATGCGTGTATACTTTTTAAAAGGAAATATTGTCTGGGAATTCTGTGTTGTTACATGCCTATTCGGAATGGCTACGATTGTATTGTGCCATGCAATATTTGCACTTCCAGTGTGCACACACATTACTTGGTACAAAAAAATGACACCTGGTTAGGACACCGTTTTACCTTAATCTCCAGGAGCATAGTTGAGGAGACAGCGAAGCAACTTCCTGTTTCGTAGGAGGTTTTGTTGTGTCCTGTTGCCTAGCGCTGCTGTGATGCACCACTTCAGTTTTTGTTTTAGTTCTTGTTGTTGTAGTGATGATCAAGTGGTAGATGTCTAATGTACTTCTGTCTTTCCTCATTCTGCTCAGACACAACCTCTTTTTCTTTCTTCTCTGATTGGTTTTGTTCTTTTCTTATTCTTTCAGGCATATCTGCATTCAATGAGCATCATACATCGAGACCTAAACTCTCACAACTGCCTGGTCAAACTGGTACGGGAGGAGTTTTACCCATTTCACATTAATTTAGATCAGTCTACACTTATTATGCCTTGCTTGGGGAGCCCAGGTCCCAGAATAGCTGACGGGCTTGTGTCAGCACAAATAGAAAGGCTAAAGTAGACAAGCACCCAAAAACAAGTTATGTAAGAAGAACACTTGAGCAGGAGAGAGAAAATACACTGAAGGGTGAAGAATCGTCACACTTGAGGATTGTTTAGTTTAATGGTAGCCCGCTTGTTTAGTTAGAGGTAAGAAGATAAGACAGGAAATGCTGTCATTCACATATCCTGAGTGAATCACTTCTGACAAGCTATTTAAAGAACCAAGAGAACAAACGACATGCCTTTGGGACTTACACATTTAGACATGCACAAAGAGTTTAAAGCTAGGCCTGACCTCTGGTGTTATCAAAAATGTTGACACTACTTTGTAATTATTTTGTCAATTTTACATTTTTATTATTATTATTATAAATTTTTTCCATGTTGTTCCTTTATACTCATAAACTTGTATCATAGAAATGTTTATCTAATTCTGTCATAATCATTTTTGCACATTAAGCATAAATATGTTCGTCTGTGCTCTACTTGTCTGACCCCTGCAGGACAACACCGTTGTGGTGGCAGATTTCGGTCTGTCTCGTCTAATCATGGAGGACAAGGTCAAGCAGCCACCCCCCGACAAACCAACCAATAAGAAAAGGCTGTTTAGACGCATTGACCGTAAGAAACGCTACACTGTGGTGGGGAACCCTTACTGGATGGCCCCAGAAATGCTCAATGGTGAGAAGAGAGAATTAAACTTAGGATCTTTGAATAAAAAATAATAATAATCATAAACTTATATATCCATGCGCTTCACGTGCTGCGTCTGAAAGATTTAAAAATATCAGTAAACAGTTTAATTTATGTGACTACATTTTATAAACTGCTTACTGGATGGACATCCAATGGGCATTAATTGTTGTCTGAGAATATTGTGTTCATGTTTTTTCTGTTCCTCCCATTATCTGATATAAAGGTGTTTGTGAGTTGTGTTTTGTAAGCTTGTTTTTCTTGATGGAGCTCTTTTTTTTTCTGTGTGAACAGGTAAACGCTATGATGAGAAGGTGGATATTTTCTCCTTTGGCATTGTGCTTTGTGAGGTAAGAGTCTTTATTAGTAGTGGTAAACATCTCACAGATTGTATGGCATGTCTTTATGAGGACAGCATGAGCTCTTAGAACTAACTGTCATTTATGGAAGCACTTGCTCGGAATGCCGAAACGCTCAAATGATTCGAGTCAAAATGGATACATTTCATTCTCGGTTATGTAAGAGGACGCTTGAAAGTTTCATTGTTTATTTTTCTTCCATTTGTCCTCATTCATTCTTCTTTCTTCTTTTGGTAATAGATTATTGGTCAGGTTTATGCAGATCCCGAGTGTCTTCCGAGAACGCTGGATTTTGGGCTCAATGTGCGAAAATTCATCGAGAAATTTCTACCTGAGCACTGTCCTCCAGCTTTCTTTGCATTGGCTGTGGCTTGTTGTGACCTCGCCCCTGACAACCGGTAAGTGCCACTGTGTTTTGTCACAAATGCCCTTCTTTAAGTAGTAATGTTGTCACATTGTGACAAATGTGAAATGATCATTTCCCTGGGGTGTTAATTTTATTTATAAAAATGTTCAACTGACACTGTAACTGCTTGAAATGTCATGTCAGCTACCCATATGTGTATAATTACTTTCTTAAAAAGAACCTGCACTACCATTCAAAAGTTTGGTGTCTGCACGTTTGTTTGTTTTTTGTTAGATAAATAATTCTATTCAACACAGATTCATTAAATTGATCAAAAGGGATTATTTATAAAATAATTATTTTAAATAAATGCTGTTCTTTTGAACTTTCTATTAATCAAATAATCCTGCTGAAACTGTATCAGTTTCCAGAAAAATAGTGTTTTCACAACTGTTTTCAACACTGATAATAAGAAATGTTTCTTGAGCACCAAACCATCATATTAGAATGATTTCTGAAGGATCATGTGACACTGAGACTGGAGTAATGATGCTGAAAATGAAAGAAAAAAAATCACGGAAATAAATTATATTTGAAAACGGCTATTTTGAATTGTAATTTAACATTTCACAATATCAATGTGTATTTTGTTTAGTTAAAAGCAGCCTTGGTGAGCAATGAGCATAAGAGACTTCTTTTGAAAAAAAAAAAAAACATTACGTCTTACCAACCCTAAGCTTTTGAACAGTAGTGTATCTAGCTATAGTTGAACAATGGTGATTAACATTACCCTGTACCCCAGTTCTTACCTCTTTCCTCTTCCTGTCTTCTTCAGGCCTGCTTTTCAGAAGTTGGAGGACTGCTTTGAGGCATTGACTCTCAATCAAGAGTTGAATATCCCTCTGCCTGCTGAACTGGATGAACTTCAGCAGGAGTTTTTAAGGACTTATGGACCCAGTGAAATTGCCTCTGAAACCCAGGAAAACAACAGGAACTAATCCAATGGCAGCAAAGGCTGAGATATGGGCTGGATATATAAAACTATTTTTTATTTTATTTTTTATTTTTTATAGAGTTTACAGAACTGAATCAGAGCATTTACCTTGGGTTGGATACTGGGTACATGCTCATGTGTTCTTTGGAGAGATCTGTCACGACATGCAGAACTTTGAGGGCATTCTAGAACTGCAAAGGGTTCTAAGCAGAGTTCTGTTGAGGGAGCAGATACATTTCAGTGACCATGAGCTTCTTGTTGCTTCTGTCTAATTTGGGTGGCTTAGGCCCTGTTATGATTTAACCATGTAGCTCAAACCTTTAAGCCTACCACTAGTTAAATTATCATAGATCTCCCTGATGAAGTTTTTCATTAATGTGAGATTGATGAAAAATCATAGAGTAGCATTGATCATTAAGTTTTTTTTGTCGATCACAGTAATTATAAAAGTGTGGTTGGGTGAATCTCATGAAGCCTGTCAAGAACATGTCTGGGTCATATTTCAGCCCACCTTAAAAAAAGAATTTATCCCTTTCTTTTTAGGTATAATTTGAGACCACTAATAAATTAATGCACAATAAGTAAATGTCACAGTAAGAGTGTTACAAATAGGGTGAAATGTGACCAACATATTTTTAAATTATAAAAAATATGGAAAGTTCTATTGACTCGTTGAAACTACCTGAACTCTAGGAATGTGTGTAACTCGAGCATTGTTGGGACACACCGCCTCCTGCAGGTAGTTGTGCTTATGTACACTCAATCCCTTGATTGTTTCTGTACCACTAGCACTTGAGGTCCTGACCTCTGTAACTCATCAGCTATTTGAAAACTGGAGTTGTCTGTTCCGCTGTCATGGACTCACCTTGTAAATATATCATGACAGGGCAAGAATATTTTTTTCTCTGTATCTAAACCTGATCTGGAGTTGTATTCTCCAAGTGAAATGATAAGTGAGATCGTAATGCTGGATCTTGACCGGTCGTTTCTAAGACCTTTGATCTCGTGAAATAGCCTGTAATAATGTCTGCAATCGCAGAATTTAACAAGTGACTGTTTGTGAGGATGTTTGATAATGAATGTCATCCTCACTTTGATCACAAATGTTTAAATTAAAACTGGATATATTTTTCATCTTTGTATAGATTTGATGTCATGTTGGGATAATGTGGATTTGTAGTTTGCATATGTTTGTAGAATGTGAAAAGCTGTATAAGAGCTTTTTTTCTCTCTAGTCTTTTCTGTCAACGGTACTGACATGTATAAAATTATAACCACTACTTGTACGCCACAGGTTTCTTACACTAATGTTTAATGAATAAAGATGTAATAAAGTATTGGCTATTTATATTCATTCACTTTTTTAATTTTAGTAAGCGTTTCCTCAGCCACAGGGGGGCGCTGTTGTGTAGTATATGGTGCTGACAGTGGTTACTACGAAATGTTCCTATTTTTGCAATATTCTCAATAGCCTGGTTTCACAGACAGGGTTTAAATTAAGACAGGATTAGGCTTTAGTTAACTTAGGACATTTAAGTAGCTTTTATAAATGTGCCTAATTAACAAGCACTACTGGTGTGCATCTTAAGATAAAACAATGGCACTGATATATTTTAGGAAATGTCAGTGCAAATTGCTTTCAGTTAAACAGCTCAAACATGCATTTTAGTCTGGGTCTAAGTTTAAGCCTTGTCTGTGAAACCAGGGGAATGTGTACTGGACCGTATGCAAGTCTTCCATTCTGAACTCTTGTTTTGCTCCTTTACTCCTATAAGTGATACATAGAATAAGCCATGAATGTGTAGTGTAAACTATTGCAAGATCATGTCCAAAAAGAAGTATGACAATATAATTTCAAACATTTATTTCACAGCAGGAAAAAACTGCCAAAAATAAAAATACAATATTTTCTGGAACCTTAAACAGTTGTACAGTCCATTAAACCATGGGAAAACAAATGTATACATAAAAAAAGTCCCATTTCATAAACTACAATCTCTGCAAAATCCCTTTATATTATTTTAATCATCATCTTGCACTCTTTCAGTCTCTGAATTCTATTGCCTTAATGGAATAACGTACAACTCTTGTGCAATCCCATTCTCAGCTTCTCATGCTTCAAGTCCATTGTCTTATTTCAGCCCATCTGTATGGTCAGGAACATTGATATGAAAAAAATGTAAACAGAGACCACAAATCAGACCCATTCTGATTGGTTTGCTGAAGTCATGACAGCACTCACCTGCTCTTTATCAGATTGTGGCCACAGAAGCAATAATACGTTCAAATGTAGTTTACTAAGGCAAGATCTCTGGAAAGCTTTCCTCTTCATTTAGTCAAAACCTTCACCGGGCTTAGCTCTAGCGTCCCAGGCCAAATGATCTGCCTATTCAATATGGATTTCTGGGAAAGAGCTATCAAAGGCAATTAACTCAATTAGTGCAGCAAAGCTCCCTATAGAGTGAACAGCCCAGCTGTGGAGCAACAGATTGTTACACATTTACAATTTCAGTTTGAACTCCACCACAACAGCATTAGGGACAAAATCAAAGAAAAAGGCAGGAAAGAAGATAAGAATGGATTGTCTTCTCTTTCAAAACACCAGATAATCTGATCCATCGCCACTTGTTGAGAGGACACGGAGCAATCGCCCTCTCATTGGAGTTTTAACAAGCAGGGATTATTCATGCCCTGTGATGATCTGCACGAAATCTACTTGCAATTTTTTCTCCAGGGGAATCCCTGACATGCATATTTATACAAAACCACCATTTCACCATTTCCAGTGTATCCCCACATGTCCTACTTTCCCCAACAGCTTCGTTGAGGAAATAAGGACACAGTCTGGGATCCCCAAAAAATCTTTCCACCGCTCTCTCAGGGCACATGCCCTACCCTAACCGTGAAACCGTGCTGTAAAGGCAAGGTAAAGAGAAAAGAGACGACAGGCAGAGGGAGGTGGACGTGGAGTTTTGTCCTTTGAGTTTCTGCAGTGCTGCATATAAATCTTAACAAGACGCCCATCGAGGCACTCATCCTGTTCCTCCATCAGGCTCCAGGGGTCCCCGCTGTCCCCATAAGAGGGTCGGCCGCGTCTACGGGCTCCTGAGTGGGGGTAAGATTGTTCGGCTCAGCCGTGATGACGATGGTGTTCTCGTCCACCAGCTCGCAGGTGGGATTGGCGAAGGCAGAGAGAGGAAGAGTGATGCGATGCATCTCACGCTCGTAAACCCGTTGCTCGTGCTGTTTCTTGAGGTCACGACCCCTACGGGATTAAAAACAAGCATTTTACTTCAACCATTGCCACACAAATGTATATGTAATCTAGACTTTAGTCATGTTTTGTCACTCGTCAACTGATCAATTACGTTCACACTCAGTTTTTGGGATTGACAATCGCATTTATTTACAGGTGCGAGTCTCGAAATGTCCCGTTCACACAGCAATTTACTGTCTGTATGAACGTGCAAAGAGAGACAAGCCCGTATTGTAACCAGAGTGACCAAAGTGATCTCAAAAGATGCAACTGCAAACTCTTATCACTTTTGACACAACAGAATCCAAATGAGCCGCAAGTTTGTCCATCAAATCTTCATCAACTGACAGCAGCTTCTATGTAAACGTGCTAGCCGGACACCTTTAACCATTGCACTCGCGTCTCGTACACGGCATTTGAGTCAGGCATATAACACAAAACTGATGGAAGCCAATCCGGTGGAAAACACTAGCTGCGTTTACATGGACACTTATAATCGGATTGACAGTTTAATCGGACTAAAAAACCTTCATGTAAACACCTTAATCGATCCGATTGAGCTCGATCCGATTGAAAGGGGCGGTTTACTCCTTTTGTAATCCGATCGAGAGAACATGTAAACACTTGATCGGATTGAAAACCGAAACTAAAAGGACTGCGCATGTGCAATGCAATGACGTTGAAATAGCGTAATGACGTATGACGCGCGGAACGAGCTGTTCTTCCTGTTGAATAAAGTGAATATAAATGAGTGTTCCGTAATCAAAAAAATTCTCATTTCACTCAGCGCCAGTGAAGTGAAGTGAAGTGCTTGTTTCAGATTATCATCCATGCTCGACTGGTTTTGGGCGCGGGGTTTTACTGCGTGATCAATAAGCAGCACGGCAAAACGGTTCATGCTCATCGTCTCCAAATCATGACCAGAGACGGATAAATATTAAGTCTGCTGTTTAAAAAAAATAAAGAACCAATAGAGGAGAATAGTTATGCCTTATGCGCGAAAAGCGGCATATTCGTGCAGTGTGCGCATGTCAAAAAATCAATTCCGATTTGAATCTTGTGACATATAAACGCGCACATCAACCCGATTACTTTATTTATAGTTAATCTAAACACCGTGTTCGGATTCATCAATCGCATTGATTTCATTCCGATTGAACCACAAACGCAGTGACTGGATCTAAAACCTTCAGATGACACAGCTCACATCTCCCTCGCTGCAAGTTACCAAAAGTGAAACCACACACGAAACCCCTCAGCAGAGCGGCTCTCTCGCACTGTATGAAGTGACAGACAACTAGTTGTTAAGTCCGGTTTCATTCAAATTTCATTCGCGAATTTTCCAAGAATGCGGTTGTGAGTCCTAAAAAATGTAGTTTGGTTATCGATATCGAATGCAGTTGTGTGAACGTAACCAAAACGTAACTCAAAAACAGGACTGACAACCGTATAGAATGGGGTCTAAAAGTCAGAGACCACCAGTGAAAATACATTCTTTAAAAATAAAAAATGTTATTTAAAACACAACAAACAGCTTAACTCGAGTAAAGAGTTTTTTCCCATTTAATTTAAACGTGTTGTGCAGTAATGCTCAAATGTTCATCCTGGGTAAAATGTTCTATTCGAATGAACATTAAAAGAGGAGAGTAGCCTACTTCAATCATTAAGAGCCTGTTTTTCTTTTTCTCTTTTTAAAACGTCGCAGATTTGTAAAGTTTCAATGATTTTCACTGTACATAAAATTAACCTCTTGATATTCAAAAGAATATTCACGTTTTCCTTAATTCATACTTTTTGTCTCAGCAGCACAGACTCAAAGAACCATTCTGAATGACATAATCAAAATGAATGACTTATTCTGCAGTGGTTCCACTTCATTTTCTCTGAATATTTTGAAGATTATTCCCATGTCTAATATTATACATTTATGTAATATTTAACAGTGACGCACACACTCCTGGACAGAAGGAGTGATTGGTCTCCAATATCGCCTATTTTTAGAGTCAAGTTATAAATGTGCAACTGTAGAGAGAGAGAGAGAGAGAGAGAGAGAGAGAGAGAGAGAGAGAGAGAGAGAGAGAGAGAGAGAGAGAGAGAGAGAGAGAGAGAGAGAGAGAGAGAGAGAGAGAGAGAGAGAGAGAGAGAGAGAGAGAGAGAGAGAGAGAGAGAGAGAGAGAGAGAGAGAGAGAGAGAGAGAGAGAGAGAGGGAGGTATAATTCCTCATTCGCTGACAAGCAAGAGACGGATCTCAATGATCACACTCCAATTCCTAGAAGTGGACGAGATCATGGGAGCTGAATGCTGGAGTGTCATATCACTGGACACACCCCTGTCTATCCTTCCTTTCGCTCCATCTCTCTCTGTGCACTGCAGGCCTGCGGTATGTTATGCAATCCTCCTACACTTCCCCAACACTGTGTCTGAAATGAGCTCTGCTTTATCACAACTGAACTGAGCGCTACCATCTTCATTTCTCTTCTTAAAGGGATAGTTCCCCCGAAAATGAAAATTATGTCATCATTTACTCACCCTCAAGTTTTTCCAAACCTGTATGAATTTCTTTGTTCTGTTGAACACAAAATACGTTATTGTGAAGAATGTCAGTAACCAAACAGTTGAAGGACCCAATTGACTTCCATAGTATTTTTTTTCACCCATATTCTTCAAAATATCTTCTTTTGTGTTCAGTAGAAGAAAGAAATTCATACAGGTTTGGAATAACTTGAGGGTGAGTAAATGATGACAGAATTTTCATTTTGAGGTGAACTATCCCTTTAAAACACACAAGCTCTCTAGCAATAAGTAAATAATTTGGTTAGATAGATGAACATTTTGAATATATGAGATCCATGTGCTGTTACATCATAACATGTTTCATGTGGGTGACATTGTCCCTAAACCCTTATCTCATCTCAACAACCTGCCTCTGCTTATTAATACTGAGCCAATTAAACTAGAAATATGATGACAAGCACACATAATCAGCTGACGCACAAGCACATGCTGCCTAAGGCTATGGGTAATCCAAGCTCCTTACAACACAGAGATGAGAATATACTCAAGTTTTAGACCTGAATTCAGACACTATTTTACTGTCATCTATTCCGAGACGTTGAGAGAGTGAATCACATGACATCTATCATGGACATGTCCATGTCATATATCACCACAAAATTAAAAAAAATTAAGAATTTATAAAATTAAAAAAAAGCTCCAGAGCATTTTTTATGAATAATAAACGACGTTTTTGGGTAGTGTTTGCTATAGTGCCATAATGATTTCCATAAAAATTACATTGTATTACAATATTTATTTCATCTGATAAATAATGATAGAGAAAAATGAGAATAAAAAAAATTACTTGCTTAATTGTCATTAAAATAACATCACAAGGCAAATATCACATGGTCCAGAAATAAGATTCATTATTTGTATACTGAATATATTTTTTTCTTTTCTTTTCTTTGATTTTAGGGTGAAATATGATCAAGACACACATTTCACACATATCATCATGGCTTGATCTTTTATCTGACTGTATTTGCAGCACATTTGGTTCAGGACAGTTTCTTGTACATTTGTGATTAGAAATGTGCAAAACTGTTAATATTTCTGAATATCAGCTTTCAGAGTCTTTCAGTTCCTCCCCAACCTCAACACCCACTTCTAAACATCTAAACAACCCCCTAAATATAGACAGTCAAGATGCCTCCAATATCTACATGCACTCACTATCTCTCTCTCTCTCATGTGTCTAATGGCATTAAAGTGACACCGACACTGATGTTAGAAGAACATGGTATGCGTTTCCAGGTAATGCCCTGCCTTTCTGATCCATGATATTATATTCCCATGAAAGCATGTAACAAACCCAATGACATAATTTATCTCTGTTCTACAGCCAGCACCTATGAGCTAGATCAAAACCAACAAACATCTCAAAAACTCTGTCAAGATCAAACACTATCCCATGCAACTGTGCTCTCCAGCAAAGAGAAACTACAATTATTATGAATTCTACATGAAGTATATTAAGTATGAGGTATATTGGCCAAACAGTCTCCTCATTCTGAAGAACCGCCTTTTTTGCCTGGATTTTGTCTTTTGACCTTCCCTATTGATCATATATGTTGTCTATTCTCTATTCTTAAAGGCCCACACTGAAGTGCCTTAAAACGTCCAGCATGTGTTGACATAATTTCCACAGGAAGACAGCACGGGACATATCGAACAGCACCTCCCCTTTTTTAAAACAGCCAATAGCGGTTGGTTTATATCACAGCTCGGCCAGAGCCGTTGAGCTCGGTAAAGCCGCAGTTTCTTCCTAATCTGTAACCGTTTCTCCTCATCTCCTCCCTATCCCTATAGCTATCCTATATGCTAAAATATAGCATTCTGTGCGGAATTCAAATGGGTCCAATACGTTTTCTGGCATATGCCGACTCGCGCATTTAATCCGCTCTGTGCTATAGTGTCTCTGGACTGGAGCAGACTGTGTGCGTGCTGAGGCGGTTCGCGCGATACTAACGCGAAACCAGACTTCATTCGCCCCAATGGAAAGTATATTTACACTGTCTAAATCAGTGGTCTCAAACTCGCGGCCCGCGGGCCATTTGCGGCCCCCGGGGTGATATTTTGTGGCCCCCTACTTGACATTAAATTTTAATGTTAGTGCGGCCCGTCGTTGCGTGTGCCGCGTTTTAATTTTTTTTTTTTTTTATCCCTTATGGGCTACCATAGATAGTCTCGTGACAGCTTACGGTGGGTTTGTTGTCAATAGTTGTCATAGACAACCGCGAAGTACAAACATACTGCGCCTGGAAAAAATGAGCGCGTCGCTTGAATTATGAGCGCGCTTGCCGCGCGCCAACATTTGAAATAACGAACTTGAGCGCGCAAAATATGTGAGCGCGATATGTGAACGGCCCCTTGGCGAGCTGCCACCAATCAGGCCACGAGGTACTGGCAGCTCGCAAGCGACGTGTTGGAGAGAGACCCTGCCCTAAAACAATGTGAGAATAATCATTTTGAGCTTGTAATATGTGTCCAACAGGTTGATAAGAAGGTTTGCTTTGATTTTTGCAGTCAGTAATTTGAGACACTATACATGTGTAGAAAGAATTCAATAAGACGGGCAGACATGACTGCAAATATTTGTATTTCAAAAGCAATAATTGTTTTTCTAAGTATAATAAAAGGAAATGTGCCTTCCAAAAAAACATTCAATATCATTAAAGTGTTGTATAAAGAAAATAAAAAGGACATAAGCAAATATAAATATCACAAATAACTGTTATAGACAAAGAAAGTTTGTAAAATGAACTTCAACTGTCAGAAGGACAGCTCATGAAGAACCAATCATGTACAGAAAGGTATGTTCAAATTCAGAGGAACAGTTCAGAAGAAACGTTAATAATAAATATTGAAAAGATTGGATCAGTTGTGCTCCTTTTTTGGAATACTTGAATACTATTTTTTGTGGAATACTTGATGCGGCCCAGCCTGACCCCGACTCTACCTCCAGCGGCCCCCAGTTAAGTTGAGTTTGAGGGGTCTGGTCTAAATCATTCCCTCTCCCCTATAGTGCACTATGTGCCACTATATGCCACAGCTTTAGCGTCTATTTATAATGTAGGAGGAGGAATGCTTTAGGTTCTAGAGAGCATTTGATTGGACAGAAAATCTGCAGAGAAGCTGAAGTGCAGAGTGATGTCATCAAAATCATTGATCCATATTGGCAAAAGTGAGAGACTGTAGGTTTTGAATGCTTTGATTTTCTAAATGCAAATTTTGTCATTGTTTTGGAGCACACTATCTTATAGATAACAGTAAGGCGAACATATTTATACTAAAAGCCGAAAAACTTTTTGATTTCATGGGGACTTTTAGTGCACACTGTGTTTTGGACATTGTGTTTCAGGTTATACTGACCGTTTGTAGAAGTATCCCATCGTGATTCCACCTCCAAGTAGGATGATAATGGCCATCATGAAGACGGCGAGAACATAACCTGCCAAGGCAGGAAAGATAACCAATATAAGCATGAACATCTTGGTTTTTGGATTTAGTTTGAGGTTTTAATCATCTAATCCAAAGACCTACCAAGAGTCCCAAGGTCTTTCTTCTTCTTAGGTTCACTCCTGGCCTGCTGGCGCACTCCCTTCACGGGCTGCACCGCTGCACCCTCCACCTGCGAGGGGAAGGAGTTTACGGGTTCAAAGGTCTCCACCATCCTTGGGGTGAGTCCCTGAGTGGGGACAGACACTTCTGGAGCCGTAGCTTCTGTGGAGTTTTGGTCTGTGGGGTGACAGAATGAACAGTATATGAGTGTTTTTCTGTTTTTTCTCAATCTAATGCAAGTCAGCTCTGCACTCCCATCAATTAACAAGCAAATTGGCATCAAACCTTTTTACTGTGGTCTGGGATTGAGTGCTCTCAACTGACAATTGTGTCCTCTACTAGCCATTGTGTTCTTACAATATTTAAGTTGGGGGGTTTTTATTACAAAAATGTAGTGTTACAATGAAACATATGCAGTGAAAGATCTGTTCTTGCCTATTGTGATGTACTTCCGAAAGAAATGGATTATATAAAAAGAAAAAAAATGAAGGATGGGAACTTTTTTTATATATCGGTTGTTGATTGGATGGAGGCAGATCTGAATACAAGCTTGCAGTCGATTGTAAAGGCCCTTTCACACCAAAGACGATAACTATAAAGATAACGATAAAGATATAGTTTATATTAACGATATAATGATATGAACGATAAAAATCGTTCTCAGTATTAAAGAATAGCAGAGTTCACACCACAACTAACGATAACAGCACAGAGAAACGATATTGTTGGAATCACTATCAGAATTTTTTTTCCAGCTGATTAACGATAAAAACATTGAGAGCCAATTAGAATTAACCTGACTTTAAAAAGCTTGAGCATTTAAAGCGGCAGACGACAAAACTGCAGCATGCACTTAGAATAAACAGAACGAAATCGTCCGCTGGTGTGGACGCTAATATAGTTATTATTGTTATAGTTATCTTAGTAGTTATCGTTCTTGGTGTGAACAGGCCTTAAAGTCCCCCTGTGGTAAAAATCAAACTTTTAATATTGTTTATATGTCTATGTGGTGTTTTTAATATGTTTTAAGCCAAACCATATGTAAATTCATGTTAACACCATTGCTGAGTATTTTCTCAAAAACGCTGTTTGAAATCGCTGGTGCTTCTGACGTCACAAACTACCTTGTAACCAATCACGTCAATGTGTGATCGTCAGCGAGTGGATCTCTGAGCTGGTGTGAGTGAGTGGAGGCGGGGCTAATTTGTATATTCATAGAACTGCACATGCGAAATGAGGCAAGGGTGTAGTAGTGTTACATTCAAGCTATTTTAAGGCATGAATAATTTTTTTTTCAAGGAAAAATATGCTTAAATATGTCATTTTGGTGATCAAAGATGAGTTTTAAGGGATAAAATGATTGCCTACAGGGGACTTTAAGAAAGGGAGAGGTCTGGAGTAAGCCACCAAAGTGAAGATCAAAGTTTGATTTTGGAAATTATAAGGTCAATTTTTTCTTTTAAAATAAAATATACAAATGGATGAATCATTCACAATAAGATCAATAACATGCATTTTTGAAAATAGGGTGAAATTTCATTTCATGTCAACTTTAAAACAACTAAAAAACAAAAGATTTTGTCCCCAAAACATGCTCTACAGTATGTAAACACAAACACTCATTATAATTGCTTATTATGTTCAGAATTGAGTCAGAATGCAATTAGCAGAACACAGATATAATACTGTGGTGGCATGCTTTTTCAAACAAAGCTTTCGAACACCAGGTGAATACTAGGCCATTTTGCATTTTTTCTTTTCTTTTTGAAGCATGTGTAATGAGATGAAGTTTGGCTATTTTTATTTAAATAGGACATCAGGTGGACGTGATGTATTCCAAAGGTCTCATAGGAAGAATTCACGAGCCGACTGAGAACATTATCATGTGCCTCAGTTGCTGTGGTCCAGCCCTCTGTATTTTTTCCACCACCCTCTACTCTAAAAAAGTTGTTTACACACTCCAACAGAGTTAAAGAACATGAGGTCACAGCTCAGCTAGCCAATCAGTATCTGTCGCCATGGTAAGCATGTTCCTCTGGGCCAATTGGAATCACAGAGGGCGAGGCCTAGACCTTCAGCAGCAGAACAAGTTTTATTGTTTGTTCCGTTGCCTGTCCCAACTGAAGAAGCCTCAAGGCTGATGATGAGTCTAGACTCATGTTATTGTTTAACTTTATCTGTCCTTGCCGCATGTTGAGTCAAAAGATAATTCTAAGGAAACCGCATCAGTGTGGATTAAAACTGACCAGCTGGCCTAGTGGTCTCAATAAGAGATTTTCTTTAAAGTAGGAAACAACACACTGCCATATTGTTTTTTGTTAATGAACCAAATAAAAGACAGCTGACCTGGCTTATTGAAAAATGATTCATAGCAAAAGAAAAGTTACCTTCAGCTGTAGTGTTGTTTAGAATAAGCTCAGGGGAAAGTGAATGCATTCAAATATTTGGTGCTGACCTTGTTCACTCCCTAGAGGACTCCCTTTCTTAAAGCCATTTACTTTTTCCCAGAAAAAGTAAGATTGCACATTTCTACACTACGTAAATATTTTTAAATCAGTTTCCTCCAGATTCTAGGAAGAAAGTAAGACTAGAAGTTTGAGACTGTGGAAACAGAGTTAGTAAGACCCAGTTGTGAAATGCCAGAGAAAGAGACTCTGACAAGTGATATAAATCACTTTCATAAATCATAATATAATTTCGTGCAGCAGTTGTTTATCCAAAACACCAAGTGATTTGTGAGCTTATTTTCAACAAAAAAGGTTTAATTTAATGTCAAGAATTTAGGCTGCATTTATATGAATCTATAAGAGCTGCTATGATTTAGAGAGAGAGAGAGAGAGAGAGAGAGAGAGAGAGAGAGAGAGAGAGAGAGAGAGAGAGAGAGAGAGAGAGAGAGAGAGAGAGAGAGAGAGAGAGAGAGAGAGAGAGAGAGAGAGAGAGTGTGTGTGAGAAATGATTTTTGAGAGAGAAGATGGCTACCTTGGCATATCTTAATATCACATGCTTCTTTTCTGGTTTCTCCACTGGACCCAGAGACGTAGCACCAAGGCTTCTCTGAACCATCTGGGTTACGACAGAAATTGTGATTTCCAACATCTTCTGAAAAGAAGAAAACAAAACAATTAAAAACCTTTTATATAAGTTTTACACTAAACTTTATTTTTCTATCAAAACATTTCTATGTTTGTGTGAGTATGTGTCTTGTGAGTTGGAGTGAGTGTGTCCCAGACTTGCCCTCGTCTGGGTTAGGCAATTGTGATTGCTCAGCTTTTTTGAGTTAGGGCTCATAATATCATCTGGACAGCATGCCCTCTTCATACATAACCATAATTTACAAAATCTATAATCAGCAACATTGACAGTTTGCAATTTGCATTTGTCTAATTAATGGATACAATCTGTAAATGCAATAATGTACATTTCTTAGCTTGATTTCCTCAAATATAATGTTTTGGGGTCTTATACAGTAAAAATGCACAAATAGATGAAGAAAAGTAGAAACATGAGTTACCCGTCTGTGAGTCTTTAAACTTCAGGTTTAGACTCCTCCAGTTGAGGCATATATTTCCCGAGGATGTCTTCTGTTGCATTCCCCTGTAGTTCTCGCCATTAGATGTTATACAATCTATGGGGAAAACAAATTAACTTCAAGCGATTTGGAAGATTGGTTTCAGATAAATTCAAAGAATAAAGTGGATATTAATTTTTCATGTTTAAATTACAGCAAATTCATCATTTACTATACTAAACAATCATACTTTTACAATAAAAAACAATTTATTATGATTAGATGTAATGATAACGTACAATGATGTAAAAATGAAAAAATGGTGAGAAAAATATACCCTCAAGCATAATTTCCTTTTTTTAAATTACTTCAAATAAAGCATACATTATTTAATTTTTTAGAAAGCTATTGCAAGCTAATTGAAATGGGATCTTACCTTCAACAACAGAAAAGCAGCTCACCAAACCAGAGTTCAGCAGGAGCGCAAAGTAAAGCAGTCGAAACATTTTTATTCGTCGATGTTATTAACAACAAGAACAATTACGACGAGTCGGCATAAAACAGCTCCGTTTTAATTGAAGAGCCTGTGGTGAATCGAGCCACACTGCTCTCCAAACAAACACACTGCAGTCGTGCTGTTGTTTTGGGCTCTGAACTGGTAAACAGCCTGAATGGACTGATCGCTGAAACTCCCTGCAGTGACTCCACGTCCTCCGGGTCCTAGAAACAGCAGCTTCACTGATCAGTTTCGAATGATACATCAGAATGTTCCAGCTGACAATCGATTGTGTTTGTGTATTTTAATATAAAACTATACACATATTTTACTAATGGTTATTACATAAATTATTTCTATATATCATTTATTATTTACACACACACACACACACACACACACACACACACACACACACACACACACACAGCGGCTCAGTGGGTAGCAGGAGCACTTTCTGTGTGGAGTTTGCATGTTCTCCCTGTGTCTGCGTGGGTTTTCTCCGGTTCCCCCCACAATCCAAAAACATGTCAGTGGGTGTGAATGCATGTGTGTTGTGAGTCAGAACTAAAGCCATGGGGAGGGTTGGGAAAGATAAAGCCATACACTTATTTTATGAATGATTTATTTATAAATATAATTTAATATAATAATAAATTATATATAATAATTGAATTATAATTTCAAATGATAACACATACACATATTCAAATTATATTTTAATATATTTTCTTACAAATTTGTTTTTATAATGTATCAAACTCTAGTATATTATTGTATATTGTATAATAAATTATAATATATTTACTATTATTATGATTATAAGTAATATTTTTTGTAAGTAATATATTAATGATAGGCTAATTATATATATATATATATATATATTATTAGACCGTCTATGAATATTATAATGTTGTGTGTTTTTAATAATTACACAACCGGACTTCTTTCAGACATTTCCTTTGCGTGGCAAAGTACAATTTGAAAAAGTCGTATATAATGTTATTAGCATCTTTTTTTGACGTAAGCTAATGTGCCTGAATGAGCTTTCACTCAACATGGGTTTGCAAAGAATGATGGGCCAAAACCTGCATACAAGTTCATCATTACAGCACCATCAATTCTTTCACATCATCCATCCTTGTTAAACAAATCTGACAGAGCAGAACTTCATTAGGAGATCAGGGACCATTATGAGCGCCTCTATTACAAGGAAACAGAGGGTCCCCTGAGGAGACACTATTAAAAGGAGGAAAACAGAGTTGATCAGTTATGACACAATCGGTGTAAGCTATGCAGCTGTCCTCTCAGAATAGATGAAATACACACATATTATACACACACCTGTTTTGTTCATAGTCATGCTCTTTTTGTTACATTCTAGACAACTCTGGCCTTTCCCTTTGTTTTATAACTATAATAAATACAACTGTCTGTTTTCAATAGTTCTGCACAGTAAGATCAGTGTCACGTTTTCTGCTGCAGTTCACCATTAAAGGGATAGTTCACCCAAAAACGTACAACCCAGAAGCGCTGCGCGGTTACACTACGTGAACTAACTCGAGGCCCACAGAGAAGTTATTAGTTGAATTAATAGTTGAATAAAGTCGTTATTTTTGTTTTGTTTTTGCGCACAAAAAGTATTCTCGTCGCTTGATAAACTTAAGATTGAGTGTAGGAGTGTCTGTAATCACTTGGACTATTTTAACGATGTCTTTAATAACTTTTCTGGGCCGGCAAGTTTCAATCCCTTAGAAGCCTATGGAGGAGTGATCCAGCTCTCAGATTTAATCAAAAATATCTTAATTTGTGTTCCGAAGATGAAGGAAAGTCTTACGGGGTTGGAACAACATCAGGGTGAGTAATTACAGACAGAATTTTCATTTTTGGGTGAACTAACCCTTTAATCTCTAAGTACCATCTTGTCTTCTTGTATCAGATCAGAATTTTATGAAATCTTGGAAATAAGGTCAAGGTTTTCATGGCATTTTGAAGCATTGAACCAAGCAATCAGATTTAATTAGACCAGAGTTTACTTCCTTTCCATGGTACCGGTTAACTGACCCACTTTTATTTTCCAAAGTAATTACATAAAGTTTCCGAAGTAAAATTGGAGCCAGGTTGGCAGCTTTTTGGGGGAGTTGTGCACCCAAGCAGAACAGTGTGAGAGAGATCAGACATTCAATAACTACACTGTTTCTGTTTTAAAGTTTGTTGATTATGTCTTTCCCATTTTTGACGCCCAGCCATCACTCATGTTTGAACTGGGAATTCTACCTGTTATGAACTCCTGTTTGACTGGTTTGTTAAAAAGTATTATTTGGAAAAATAAATAAAGTGAACACATTTTGAAAGCTTTCAGAATACAGCACACACGCATAGTCATAAACAGTACAGTGAATAAACATGATCAAAAAAGATCCTGTTTACTCGAAAATAGAACTAGGGACAAACTTGATTCATAATTCAAACATTGTTCATTCAGGAGCATTATTCATGTTCTGTCCAAAGATTCATGAAAATCAAATTGCAGTGATTAAAATAAATGACTAAACCAGCGTCATTTCTTCATTCAATGCTGCTGCTCCATGTAAGGTTAAACAGGAAGTGAAATGTGGGTTTGCATGGCGAAGACGGCAGATAATGAGTGGAAAAAGCCCAGACAAACAGATGCCTCTGTTGAGTCCTGTGAAAAGACTTCCATATAATTCATTTGCACATACAGACATCCCACATTAAACAACTGTCTTATAAAATATATTGAATTGATAAGAAAACAAATGATGAGCTCTTGTTTTTTTTTTTAATGGCTAGTAAAATGGGAGGGGGGGGTGGGGGTACAAGTACAAAACTTAAGTACTAAAATGTTTTAAATATTTTCAAAAATTATTATAAAATGGATATTTTCTTAAATAATAAAACAAAGGCTTAACACAAACATTTTAAAATGGCCCCTCCAAGAAATCCACCTGAATTTCCTTTTGACTCTAAAATAATCAGTACGTCATTTATAATACAATAAAAGCATTCATAGAAGAGTGTGAATCTCTTCAGCGTTTGCTGTAAAATCAGACCATCTGTTCCCCTGATGGCTACTGGGATACCAAACTGCGTCCTAACACTGTCCTGTGACACGCAGGCGTGTTGCACAGCAACTGAGTACATATTCCAGACATGGATCGTCAACTAGCTGAGGGCAGAAAATGGACACTTAACCTGGGAGACGAGCCTCTAATGTGGCATAAAGCAGGCACTATTCCCCAGCTAATACGGTAGGGCAACTCTACTGTTGCCGCAAAAGCCATTACATCACTGTTTGATGCATTTACCCCTGCAGTGGAAACCTGAGTAGAAGTGGCTTACGCAAAGAGAAGATGAGGATGAGAAAGGGGGTACAGAGTGAGAAAGAAAGATGTAAAACAAAACAAAAACAGTGGGATAAAACTATAAAATATGTATTGGACATAAAAGAAAGGATTAGGGTAGGAAAAGGATTAAGTACCGCAGGATAAAAGTGAATAGTGCAGCTAAGGCTGCGTTCACACTGTCAGTCCAAATCCAATTATTTGTGCATTCGATTGGAATCTGATCTAAATGATTGATTCTCCAGATCAGATTTTTGTCTCCCATGGCACTCTTTTGTTTTTCAGAATATTTGCATTGGTTTCTATGGCAAGGACGTTATGTTGGTAGGTATACACCAAAAAAAACAACAACAAAAAAACAACAGTAACATGGAGGGGTTTGAAAAACATGTTGTCTTATTGACTGGACTACTATGTCTTCTGAGACAGCAGCAGAAATGTAGCAGGCTGGTATGGGCATTTATTCCGTGCTGTTGTTTCCAGTCTTCAAATTTCCATTATATTGTAATTTTCTGCTCGACCAGCACTTTGCAACAACACAACCTTGTTTCTGCAGCGACTTTTTATTTTTCTGTGGCGTGGGAAAGTGGCAAGCCACGCGAAATCCGATTAGAGCGGTCAAACCGAAACCGATTTACAGAAATGCGATTTGAATAGCATTTCAAACCACATATGAATGTAGCTCAAAACAAATTACATTTCTTTAAAATAAATAAATAAATCGCATTTCATGTGATTTTTTTGCCATTCACACTTGCTAAATATGATCGAATATGCACACAAATCGGATTTGGACTGACAGTCTAAGACCAAGTTCAGACTGTAAACATGTCAAATGTTGTTATAGTGACTGACTGTCGCACACATAGACTGTGGTCGCACAACACTGGACGAAATTCTACTGTATGACGTCAAGGCTGTAATGTGTTTGGTTATCAAGGCACACAAATTATGCTGAAAGTCGCTGCAGAAACAAGGTTGTGTTGTTGCAAAGTCGAGCAGAAAATGACAATATGTGACCCTGGACCACAAAACCAGTCACATGTCGCACGGGTATAGTTGTGTCCATTTTTTTGGTGTGAACACTAAAATAGATAAATCCAAAACAAATGTTGAAGATTAGCCAATGGGCTGTCGATTCATTAAATAAGCCTATTCTCTGATTAGGCTGTGATAGGCTTTATGCCGAGCGTCACGTGACCAAACCGGAAAACGGGTCTCATTGCATCCGCTTGTCAGAGAAAGTGTTAACGGCCATAAGAACTAACTACGATATCTATAGATTTTTAAGGTAATCAGCTAACCTACTGAGTTCACTTTGTTATTGGTGTTTTATGCTATTTAAATATCTAAACGTTAGTGTGAAGAAGAAAAATTAAAAAAGCTTTTAAGAGGGACATTGGTTATGCTCATTTTTGCTTGCTCCTTTTAATTTATCTTGAGTAAAACCGCAAAAAATTTCATGAAGCACTATGGACTATGAAATCAAACATTTTAAAAGAGAACAATACATCACGGTTGTTTAAACCAATGAGCATTAAGCTGTGTCGTCAGCAAGTCGTTTCCCATCGTGCTTTTGATCAGCGCAGTCGGTGGAGAGCAACTGCGCGCGACTGCAGAATCCGACACGTGCGCCTTGCGGTCGCGAGAGTTTTTTGACACACGTCACCATGACATCAGAGCAAGGCGGACCGCACTCGGACACATTTCTAACCGGCATGCATCTCGCGCTGATCACCGGTGATCGGTTCTGCGCAGATTTTGCTCATCTCAAACAAGCCTAATGTCTAATGGAGCAATATATCAGACTCACATTCTGACTA